ACCCCTTACCCCCACCTGCTAACCTGCAACCCCTAACCCCTGAGCTCCCCAACTCCTAATCCCTTACTCCCAACCTCTAACCACTAGCCCTAACTGCCCAACCCCTAAACCCCAACCCCTAAACCCCAACCCCTTACCCCAAACCCTAACACTCTAACCACTAACCCTAACCCCTTACCCCCAACCGCTAACCACTAACCATAACCTCTCCAACCCCTAACCCCTAACTCCTTACCCCAACCCTAACCACTAACCATAACCTCTCCAACCCCTAACCGCTAACTCCTTACCCCCAACCGCTAACCACTAACCATAACCTCTCCAACCCCTAACCCCTTTCTCCCCACCCCCTAAGCACTACCTCACTCCCGACACCTAACCCCGAACCATATCCCCAATACCTAACGCTAAACCCTAACCATAACAAAAACAAAAAAAAACTATTGTCAGAGGGTTTAACCCTTCTCCATCCTACCTAAAATGTGTTCCTGTTGGTGAGATTTCCCGTCACTTCCTGTCCTGATAGGGAGGGTGCAATGTCCAAATATGGGCTTAGAGTCAGTGATGTCACAGGGAATTCTGGGGAGACACCTCCCTGCAGGTCCCAACTGGAGCTCTGCTCCCTTTTCGTCAAGAGTGTGGTACTGAAGGTGACCCAATGGGCAACAGTTCTGGAGTTCAATAGGGGGTGACAACCTACTTGGGGGGTACTGCTTCTACAAACATTGGTGAAAGAATGGGTCGCTCTCAGGAGCTCAGTGACTCCAAGCGTGGTCCCGTGATAGGTGGCCACCTGGGCAATAAGTCCATCCGTGACATTTCCTGGCTACTAAATATTCCACGCTCAACTGTTAGTGGGATTATAACAAAGTGGAAGCAACTGGGAACAGCCACTCAGCCACCAAGTGGTAGGCCACGTCACATGACAGGGCGGGGTCAGCACATGCTGAAGCGCACAGTGCGCAGAAGTCGCCAACTGTCTGCAGAGTCAATAGCTAAAGACCTCCAAACTTGGTGTGGCCTTCAGATGAGCCCAACAACAGTGTGTAGAGAGCTTCATGGAATGGGTTTCCATGGCCGAGCAGCTGCATCCAAGCCTTCCATCACCAAGTGCAATGCAAATCGTCGGATGCCGTGGTGTAAAGCACGCCGCCACTGGACTCTAGAGCAGGGAGGCGTGTTCTCTGGAGGGACCAATCACGCTTCTCTGTCTGGCAATCTGATGGACATGTCTGGGTTTGGCGGTTGCCAGGAGAACGGTACTTGCCTGACTGCATTGTGCCAAGTGTAAAGTTTGGTGGAGGGGGGATTATGGTGTGGGGGTGTTTTTCAGGGGTTGGGCTTGGCCCCCTAGTTCCAGTGAAGGGAACTCTTAAGGCGACATTTTGGACAATTTCATGCTCCCAACTTTGTGGGAGGAGTTTGGGGATGGCCCCTTCCTGTTCCAACATGACTGCGCACCAGTGCACAAAGCAAGGTCCATAAAGACATGGAGGAGCCAGTTTGGGGTGGAGGAACTTGACTGTCCTGCACAGAGTCCTGACCTCAACCCCATAGAACACCTTTGGGATGAATTAGAGCGGAGACTGCGAGCCAGGCCTCCTCCCCCGACATCAGTGCCTGACCTGACAAATGTGCTTCTGGAAGAATGGTCCAACCTTCCCATAGACACCCTCCTAAACCTTGTGGGGGGCCTTCCCATAGACACTGGTTGTCGGTGTGATTTATATGTTGGCAGCTCCTGATCATGGATATGGGGGAAGGGGGGGGGGGGGGGGGGAGTTTCATTACAAATATCAGGAGCGTCATAAACTTGGAATGCAATTATTTCTTACAATTTTTGGAAAGTGCCAATAATTTTGTCCATTTTTGGGGTTTTGCGTGGAATGGGTCAGATTTGGCTTTTTGCTTCTCCACTTTTTGTGTCGCCGATACAAACCAAAGAAAGAAATAAACACGAGAACGCCAAAACATTTGTCATTGCAACAATTTTCTGGGTGAAGTGGTGCGTATCGGACAGAAATGCGGGGGGGGGGGGGGGGGTAATATTTTTATGAGTATATACTGTATATATATTATTGGGGAGCTGGGAACGTCAGCGCACAGACGACGACAACAACAGGAGAGGAGGACAGGAGACGAGGACAGAGGACAGGAGACGAGGACAGGAGAGAGGACAGGAGAGGATGGACAGGAGACGAGGACAGGAGAGGATGACAGGACCTCTTCTCTATAATTGTGGAAGATTCCCCCCATATCATCCCATTACTGACTGTCAGAGATAATGGAGGTGATTGGAGTGAAGTGGATGTAATGGATGCGTTGTGAAGAAATGGAGAGTAATGGCACATGGAGAGCGTGGGAGTATCATCAATGTACCGCGTGTGTGTCATCACCTGTCCGTCCATCCATGTGTGTGTGTGTGTCATCACCTTCCGTGTGTGTGTCATCACCCGTCCGTGTGTGTGTGTGTGTGTGTGTGTGTGTCATCACCCCTCCATGTGTGTGTGTGTCATCACCCGTCCATGTGTGTGTGTGTGTGTGTGTGTCACCCGTGTGTGTGTGTCATCACCCCTCCATGTGTGTGTGTGTGTCATCACCCGTCCGTGTGTGTGTGTGTTGTGTTGTGTGTGTGTCATCACCCCTCCATGTGTGTGTGTGTGTGTCATCACCCCTCCGTGTGTGTGTGTGTCATCACCCCTCCATGTGTGTGTGTCATCACCCGTCTGTGTGTGTGTCATGTGTGTGTCATCACCCGTCCAATGTGTGTGTGTGTGTGTGTGTGTGTGTGTGTGTGTCATCACCCGTCCATGTGTGTGTGTGTCATCACCCCTCCATGTGTGTGTGTGTTTGTCATCACCCCTCCATGTGTGTGTGTGTGTGTCATCACCCGTCCGTGTGTGTGTGTGTGTCATCACCCGTCCATGTGTGTGTGTCATCACCCGTCCCCATCCATGTGTGTGTGTGTTGTGTGTGTGTGTCATCACCCCTCCATGTGTGTGTGTGTGTGTCATTCCATGTGTGTGTGTTTGTCATCACCCCTGTTTGGTGTGTGTGTGTGTGTGTCCTCACCCCCTCCATGCGTGTGTGTGTGTCATCACCCCTCCATGTGTGTGTGTCATCACCTGTCCATGTGTGTGTGTGTGTGTCATCACCCGTCCATGTGTGTGTGTGTGTGTGTCATCACCCGTCCATGTGTGTGTCATCACCATCCGCGTGTGTGTGTGTGTGTGTGTCATCACCCCTCCCATTGTGTGTGTGTGTGTGTCATCACCCCCTCCATGTGTGTGTGTGTGTGTGTCATCACCCGTCTGTGTGTGTGTCATCACCCGTCCATGTGTGTGTGTGTGTGTGTGTCATCACCCGTCCATGTGTGTGTGTGTGTCATTCCATGTGTGTGTGTGTCATCACCCATCCGTGTGTGAGGTGTGTGTCGGTCCAGGTTTTTGTGTTTGTAAAGGACATTTCTTCTTTCTATATCACCCGTCCAAGTGTGTATACAGTGTAATCCCCGTCCCTCCACTTCTGGTGTGTCATTGGCACTGGCCCATCACCCCCTCAACAAATGTCCCCATAGCAAGATGTTTGCTCAAGGGGGCACTAGTCCATGTGTGCTGTGCTCCTGAGGAGGCTGTGTGTGTGTGTGTCCCAAACCCCTCCTCACTGGTGATGATGGATCACCCGCCAGTGTGTGTTGGTGTTGTGTGTCATCACCCGTCTGCTGTTGTGTGTGAGCTAATTGTGGTGTGTCAGGGGAGAGCCCTATGTGTGTGTGTTCATTCATGTATAACAGGGGCTGATGTGTGTGTGGGGGGGGGTAAATCCCTTGTAGAGCGGGAGGTTTTTCTAGTTTGGTATGAGGAGCATTTCCTCTATTTATCCTAAATACAAGAAACACGATCCTCCTCTGTTAATGGGGAGATTTCCCACCACCCTCTGTGTCCCTAAACCAGGAGCTCCCTCTGTAGTTCAGCACCAGGGAGATTTCCCCCTGTTTGTGTCACTGCCCCTCAGGAGTATTTCCTCCAGTAGTTTGTGTCTCTGTACCTCCCACTCCATGGGGAGATTTCCTCCAGTAGTTTGTGTCTCTGCCCCTCCCACAATGGGGAGATTTCCCTGCAGTAGTTTGTGTCTCTGCCCCTCCCACAATGGGGAGATTTCCCCAGTAGTTTTGTATCTCTGCCCCTCCCACAATGGGGAGATTTCCCCCAGTAGTTTGTGTCTCTGCCCCTCCCACAATGGGGAGATTTCCCCCCATAGTTTGTCTCTGCCCCTCCCACAATGGGGAGATTTCCTGCAGTAGTTTGTGTCTCTGCCCCTCCCACAATGGGGAGATTTCCCTGCAGCAGTTTGTGTCTCTGCCCCTCCCACAATGGGGAGATTTCCCTGCAGCAGTTTGTGTCTCTGCCCCTCCCACAATGGGGGAGATTTCCCTGCAGTAGTTTGTGTCTCTGCCCCTCCCACAATGGGGAGATTTCCCTGCAGTAATTTGTGTCTCTGCCCCTCCCACAATGGGGAATTTCCCTGCAGTAGTTTGTGTCTCTGCCCCTCCCACAATAGGGAGATTTCCCCCTGCAGTAGTTTGTGTCTCTGCCCCTCCCACAATGGGGAGATTTCCCGTAATAGTTTGTGTCTCTGCCCCTCCCACATGGGGAGATTTCCCCGCCCCTCACGAGGTGTCGGTCTCTGACAGGCGGACTCCTCCAGGATTCAGTGTACAGTATGGAGGATCCAGTAGAAGAAATATCAATCGAATGATAAGAACGAATGAAGTTTATTTGCATCGTGTTCCAGGCACCCCAATACAAGAACCAAACTCTGCCCCGCCTCCCGACGTTCATACCAACCAATCAAATTTTATTTTTTAGTCCGGCTTTTGATTGGCTGTTATGGTCAGTATTGCTTCCAGTAACGTTGCTGTATATGAGGCGGATTGGTTGTAATCTTTGGATCGTGTCGGACGGTCGGGGGTGGAGAATGTGGCGTACCGCGGTGTTACGTCACTGCGCATCTTCCCCTTCTGTAGTCGGTTGGTGCGTCTCCGCGCTCAGTAAGGCCTCGGCATTTCCATGAATGATTCGATGGGCGGCCGCAAGGTGTCTGCGCTGGGAGTTCCTCACTGCAGGACAACGAAGAGAAAGGTTAATAGGAGACGAGGACCGCCCACTGACATCCCCCTGAAAAAGGGCGGAGCCATCTTTGTTCCGGCATCATCCAGGGTCACCGTATACTTCCTGGCCTGGGATGCCGGTTCAGAGATGATGCCGTTAAGTAAATCCCGGTGCCAGTGCAGTTCCTGGCTGTGTTCACAAATGTGTGACACAAATCAGCCCCTGCAGCAGCTTATCAACGTTACACTGTACAGTCTGATCACTGGTGCCTCTGTATACGGGCAGCACTTACCTCTCCCCCGGACAGCTGTCTTCTGCATTTCTGGGATCAGAAAACTGTACACCAACTCCGCCACGATCTCCTCCGACTGCAGCTGGGTGCGGCTGTGGGAACGAGCAACAATGTTACTGCAGACATTATACTGACCCCCCCCCCCCCCGGGGCAAATATGGGCCCCCCAGAGAGAAATATGTCAGGTGCCGCGGAGGAGTTCAGAGACCATTTATAAAGACAAAAGGCCCAAAAAATATCCATAAAGGGTCCTAGAGCAAGGAGGAGCTAAATGATGCTGGGCATCCTCCAGCCAGGAAATGGGGCGGAGCTCTATCTGATTTCTGCAGCTTCTAATGAACATTGTGAGAAGCTCCCAGTGTGCGGTGAAATGATAAGCCGTTTCAGTCCAGGAGAAGCCGATTTCAGTCCAGGGGAGGAGCCGATACACCTGTGCAAGACTGAAGGGGAGGAGCCGGTACACCTGTGCAAGACTGAAGGGGAGGAGCCGTTACACCTGTACTAGACTGAAGGGGAGGAGCCGGTACACCTGTGCAAGACTGAAGGGGAGGAGCCGTACACCTGTGCAAGACTGAAGGGGAGGAGCCGGCACACCTGTACAAGACTGAAGGGGAGGAGCCGGTACACCTGTGCAAGACTGAAGGGGAGGAGCCGGTACACCTGTGCAAGACTAAAGGGGAGGAGCCGGTACACCTGTGCAAGACTAAAGGGGAGGAGCCGGTACACCTGTGCGTGCAAGACTGAAGGGGAGGCCGGAGGATGGATATAACATGGAGGCGGTACGTTGTGTCGGTGGCCGCCCCCCTCTGGGGATCAGCGGCTCCCTCACCTGCTCTCCATCTGGTAAGCGATATGATCGATCTCCTGAGCCCTGCGCTGGATCTCCTCCCGCGCCTGCTCCTCCGCCGTGTCCTGGGTGGCGCTGAGGATGACGTCCTCCAGGTAGGAGTCCACGGTGCTCTGGTGAATGTTCACAACCTGCCGGACACAACCACAGCCGTTCATTACGGGGAGCCCAGGAGGTTCAACCGAAATTCTGAGGCCCCATTCACCCCGGAGCGATCTGCAGATCGGAGCTCAAAACGTTAAACAAATGCTGAGGAGGAAAAAAACGAATTATCCTCTGTGGAGCCGCTTCACCTCTCCACTCCGTCGCCTGCAGCTCAAAAACGATTTGGAGCCACTTTTGTAGCTCGATTTGGGCCGATCGGTGCGGTTTTGAAGCTTTTTTTTCCCCCTCCATAGAAATGCATTGAAACGCGCAATTCTCGGGTTTTTTGAGCGTTTTCAAGCATCGTTCTGCTCAAATGCAACGATGAAAAAAACTAAATATGAAATAAAATAATAATCAAATAAATAATATGCAATAATAAACAATAAAGAAATGAATTAATCAACCCCCAACCCCTGAACATTAAACCAACTAATAAAAAATAAATAAATAAATAAACTAACCTAAACCAAAAAATAAATAAAAAGTAATAAATGAATAAACCCCTAACCTCTAACTTTAACCCCTAACCAAAAAATAAATAATAAATAAATAAAAATCATATTCAATTAAATAAATAATATATAAACTAATTAATTAACCCCTAACCGAATAAATAATAAAATAATCCCCTAACCCGAACCAAAAAATAAATAAAAATGTATAAATGAATAAATAAACCCCTAACCTCTAACTTTAACCCCTAACCAAAAAATAAATAATAAATAAATACAAATCATATTCAATTAAATAAATACATAAACAAATTAATTAACCCCTAACCGAATAAATAATAAACTAACCCCCTAACCCGGACCAAAAAATAAAATAAAAATTAATAAATGAATAAATAAACACCTAACCTCAAACTTTAACCCCTAACCTAACCAAAAAATAAATAAAAATAAATAATCATATTCAATTAAATAAATAATATATAAATGAATTAATTAACCCCTAACCGAATAAATAACAAAATAAAATAACCCCCTAACCCTAACCAAAAAATAAATAAAAATTAATAAATGAATAAACCTCTAACTTTAACCCCTAACCCTAACCAAGAAAAATAATAAATGAATACATAAATAATAATCATATTCAAATAAATAATATATAAACCAATTAATTAGCCCCTATCTGAATAAAATAATAAAATAAAAAACCACTAACCAATAAATAAATAAAAATGAAATGAATAAAAATAAACCCCTAACCTCTAACTTTAACCCCTAACCTAAGCAAAAAATAATAAATGAACATAAATAATAATCATATTCAAATAAATTATATATAAACTAATTAATTAACCCCTAACCGAATAAATAATAAAATAAAATAACCCTCTAACCCTAAGCAAAAAATAAATAAAAATTAATAAATGAATAAATAAACCCCTAACCTCTAAATTTTACCCCTAACCAAAACAATAATAAAAATGAATACATAAATAAAAATCATATTCAAATAAATAATATATAAACCAATTAATTAGCCCCTATCTGAATAAATAATAAAATAAAAAAACACTAACCAATAAATAAATAAAAATGAATGAATGAATAAATAAACCCCTAACCTCTAACTTTAACCCCTAACCCTAAGCAAAAAAATAATAAATACATAAATAATAATCATATTCAAATAAATTATATATAAACTAATTAATTAACCCCTAACCGAATAAATAATAAAATAAAATAACCCCCTAACCCTCAGGAAAAAATAAATAAAAATTAATAAATTAATAAATAAACCCCTAACCTCTAAATTTTACCCCTAACCAAAACAATAATAAATGAATACATAAATAAAAATCATATTAAAATAAATAAATATTATTATTATACAGGATTTATGGCGCCAACAGTTTGCTCAGCGCTTTACAATATAACGGGAGACAATACAGCAACAATACAGTTCAATACAAGAGGGAAAGGAGGGGCTGATCCTGGGAGCTTACAATCTAAATAATATATAAACTAATTAACCCCTAACCGAATAAATAATAAAATAAAATAACACCCTAACCAAAAAATAAAAATTAATAAATGAATAAATAAACCCCTAACCTCTAACAAAAAAAATAAAATAAAAACAAAAATTAATAATGTTTTATTATTTATTTGCAATAAATAATAAAATTTAGTAATTAAATAATTAATCATTGTAATAATAAATAATATTAAATAAACAAACCCCTAAACTTAAGCTCTAACCCTCACAAAAATAAAAATAAATAAATATTACATGTATTATTAATTTATAATAAATAATAATAAACAAATAATAATAAACCTCTCACCACCAACTCCCAACCTCTCTGTAGCGTGCTCCCTTCCTTCCGTCTAGGGCCCCTCCCCTACGATGGCGGAACGCCAGGGCCCAATCGCAAGTTTGCAACAATCTAGTTCCGCCACTGCTAACCTGCTTGATGCTGACTTGGATTGACCGGACTACTCTCTCCCTCCTGCCTGCCAAGACCTCTACCTGCCCAGACCACTCTCTCGTCTCGGGAGCAGTCTCTACACTGTACCCTTTCCACTCCAGCCACCCCCTTGGTGGGGTGATCCTGAGGGCCACAACCTGGTGCCCAAAGTAAACCGGGAGCACTAGGGTTCTGAAGGCATCTCCACCATCAGGAGCTCTGGTGGAGACCACTTGCCACTTAGAATCCCCACCATGGATGAGCCTGGGTCACCAGCCATGGGACGCCCTAACAGAATGTTAAGAGCCACATAGGAGGGCCAACTCCATATTAATGGCCATGGTTTTAGAATCGGATGTCCAACACCTAAAGGTGTGAGGGTCAGGAGTCTCCAGGCATTGGCCATACAGTGTAGTATATGGGGCCTCTTTTAGATCTTGCACTGGGTTGAAGGAACCTTTAGCTGCACAGACACATTCCAGAGAACTGCACACAATGAGAGAATTCCATATGGGTCAGGCTTGTCCCAACCTGCTTATCGAGGTCTGTTCTGTCTGCAATGCAGGAAATCCACCTCGACTGTCTGCCTCCGATCAATGGCGGTTGACTGATAAGTCCCATCTATGAGGACTGAGGTCAGACTGGAGTTTTCAGGCTGCACATAAGTAGACTAGGCCTCATTAGATATATCGTTGCAGCTGAGCCAGTACCGGATAGGCCGAATTATCCTCCTCCGGTATGGTAGAGTTATTTCCGATCCATTCTGCTACGCTTCATATATTCGATCTTTCTGAGTTATGCGTTATAGCTTGCAACCCTCTTTTTTTGCCTTGTAGACATCAACCAAATGGTGATGGAAGCTACACGATATTGCCCCAAGTATTGGGCCTCCTGCCTTTCCACGCACATGACCTTCAATGGCCCCCCAGTCTTAGTCTGTAGGGTTCAATATTAGGTTGGCCCCGCCCTTTCCACACACATGACCTCCCAGTTTAGTCCGTAGGGTTCAATGACCTCCCACACACATGACCTTTAATGACCTCTTAGTCTGTAGGGTTCAATATTGGTCGTCCGGCCTTTCCACGCACTTGACCTTCAATGGCCTCCCAGTCTTAGTCCGTAGGGTTCAATATTAGGTTGGCCCCGCCCTTTCCACACACATGACCTTTAATGGCCCCCCAGTCTTAGCCCGTAGGGTTCAATATTGAGTTGGCCCCACCCTTTCCACGCACATGACCTTTAATGGCCCCCCAGTCTTAGCCCGTAGGGTTCAATATTGAGTTGGCCCCCGCCCTTTCCACACACATGACCTTTAATGGCCCCCCCAGTCTTAGTCCGTAGGGTTCAAAATTGAGTTGGCCCCGCCCTTTGCAGCTATAACAGCTTCAACTCTTCTGGGAAGGCCGTCCACAAGGTTTAGGAGGGTGTCTATGGGAAGGTTGGACCATTCTTCCAGAAGCACATTTGTCAGGTCAGGCACTGATGTCGGGGGAGGAGGCCTGGCTCGTAGTCTCCGCTTTAATTCATCCCAAAGGTGTTCTATGGGGTTGAGGTCAGGACTCTGTGCAGGACAGTCAAATTCCTCCACCCCAAAATGGCTCCTCCATGTCTTTATGGACCTTGCTTTGTGCACTGGTGTGCAGTCATGTTGGAACAGGAAGGGGCCATCCCCAAACTCCTCCCACAAAGTTGGGAGCATGAAATTGTCCAAAATGTCGCCTTAAGAGTTCCCTTCACTGGAACTAGGGGGCCAACCCAACCCCTGAAAAACAACCTCACACCATAATCCCCCCTCCACCAAACTTTCACTTGGCACAATGCAGTCAGGTAAGTACCGCTCTCCTGGCAACCGCCAAACCCAGACACATCCATCGGATTGCCAGACAGAGAAGCGTGATTGGTCCCTCCAGAGAACACGTCTCCTCTGCTCTAGAGTCCAGTGGTGGCGTGCTTTACACCACGGCATCCGACGCTTTGCATTGCACTTGGTGATGGAAGGCTTGGATGCGGCTGCTCGGCCATGGAAACCCATTCCATGGAGCTCTCTACACACTGTTGTTGGGCTCATCTGAAGGCCACACCAAGTTTGGAGGTCTTTAGCTATTGACTCTGCAGACAGTTGGTGACTTCTGCGCACTGTGCGCTTCAGCATGCGCTGACCCCACCCTGACGTGGCCTACCACTTGGTGGCTGAGTGGCTGTTGTTCCCAGTGGCTTCACTTTGTTATAATCCCACTAACAGTTGAGCGTGGAATATTTAGTAGCCAGGAAATGTCACGGATGGACTTATTGCCCAGGTGGCCACCTATCACGGGACCACGCTTGGAGTCACTGAGCTCCTGAGAGCGACCCATTCTTTCACCAATGTTTGTAGAAGCAGTCTGCATGCCTAGGGGCTTGATTGTATACACCTGTGTCCATGGAGGGGATTGGAACACCTGAATCACATGATATGGAGGGGATTGGAACACCTGAATCACATGATATGGAGGGGATTGGAACACATGAATCACATGATTGGGAGGGGATTGGAACACATGAATCACATGATATGGAGGGGATTGGAACACCTGAATCACATGATTGGGAGGGGATTGGAACACCTGAATCACATGATATGGAGGGGATTGGAACACATGAATCACATGATATGGAGGGGATTGGAACACCTGAATCACATGATTGGGAGGGCAGGGCCAATACTATTCACAATATTCATGTACAGCCATTCTTTGCAACAAAGATCACGTTCGGTTGTCCCCTCCATGGCCACAGGTGTATAAAATCAAGCCTCTAGGCATGCAGACTGCTTTTTTTCTTGGGAGGGTGCATGTGATCAGCACAGGGCCAATCAGCACTGTCCAAACAGGGGGTCAGGGGTGTTGCAGCCTCATTGGACAGTCAGAGGAGTTTGCAAACTCCTCCTACAAGCTTAACCAGTGCTCTGCTGGACACTGATAGAAGTCACAAGACTGCTGATGAGAAAAGGTATTTAGCAGTTTATATTTACAAAAATAATTGCATTTCCATGTTCTGTGTACTGTGGGAGAGTGAATATAGTGAATGCGGGGTCCGGGGAGAGCGGATATAGTGAATGCGGGGTCCGGGGAGAGCGGATATAGTGAATGCGGGGTCCGGGGAGAGCGATATAGTGAATGCGGGGTCCGGGGAGAGCGGATATAGTGAATGCGGGGTCCGGGGAGAGCGGATATAGTGAGTGCGGGGTCCGGGGAGAGCGGATATAGTGAATGCGGGGTTCGGGGAGAGCGGATATAGTGAATGCGGGGTCCGGGGAGAGCGGATATAGTGAATGCGGGGTCCGGGGAGAGCGGGTATAGTGAATGCGGGGTCGGGGGAGAGCGGGTATAGTGAATGCGGGGTCCGGGGAGAGCGGGGATATAGTGAATGCGGGGTCCGGGGAGAGCGGTATAGTGAATGCGGGGTCCGGGGAGAGCGGGGGATATAGTGAATGCGGGGTCCGGGGAGAGCGGATATAGTGAATGCGGGGTCCGGGGAGAGCGGATATAGTGAGTGCGGGGTCCGGGGAGAGCGGATATAGTGAATGCGGGGTCCGGGGAGAGCGGATATAGTGAATGCGGGGTCCGGGGAGAGCGGATATAGTGAATGCGGGGTCCGGGGAGAGCGGATATAGTGAATGCGGGGTCCGGGGAGAGCGGGTATAGTGAATGCGGGGTCCGGGGAGAGCGAATATAGTGAATGCGGGGTCCGGGGAGAGCGGATATAGTGAATGCGGGGTCCGGGGGGGTCCGGGGAGAGCGGATATAGAGCGGGGTCCGGGGAGAGCGGACTATAGTGAATGCGGGGTCCGGGGAGAGCGGGTATATGCGGGGTCCGGGAAGAGCGGGTGGGTTATAGTGAATGCGGGGTCCGGGGAGAGCGGGTATAGTGAATGCGGGGTCCGGGGAGAGCGGATATAGTGAATGCGGGGTCCGGGGAGAGCGGTATAGTGATAAAGTGAATGCGGGGGTCCGGGAGAGCGGTAATATAGTTAATGGGTCCGGGGAGAGCGGGTATAGTGAATGCGGGGTCCGGGGAGAGCGGATATAGTGAATGCGGGGTGGGGGCGAGAGCGGGGTCCGGGGAGAGCGGGTATAGTGAATGCGGGGTCCGGGGAGAGCGGATATAGTGAATGCGGGGTCCGGGGAGAGCGATATAGTGAATGAGGGGTCCGGGGAGAGCGGATATAGTGAATGCGGGAGGGTCCCGGGAGAGCGGAATATAGTGAATGCGGGTCCGGGAGAGCGAGAGCGGATATAGTGAATGCGGGGTCCGGGAGAGCGGATAGTGAATGTGAAGCGGGTGTCCGGGGGAGAGCGAATATAGTGAATGCGGGGTCCGGGGAGAGCGGATATAGTGAATGCAGGGTCCGGTGAGAGCGGGGTCCGGGGATAGTGAATGCGGGGTCCGGGGAGAGCGGGTATAGTGAATGCGGGGTCCGGGGAGAGCGGATATAGTGAATGCGGGGTCCGGGGAGAGCGGGTATAGTGAATGCGGGGTCCGGGGAGAGCGGATATAGTGAATGCGGGGTCCGGGGAGAGAGCGGATATAGTGAATGCGGGGTCCGGGGAGAGCGGATATAGTGAGAGCGGGGTATAGTGTGATCCGGGGTCCGGGAGAGAGCGGGTATAGTGAATGCGGGGTCCGGGGAGAGCGGGTATAGTGAATGCGGGGTCCGGGGAGAGCGGATAAAGTGAGTGCGGGGTCCGGGGAGAGCGGATACAGCGAATGCGGGGTCCGGGGAGAGCGGATACAGCGAATGCGGGGTCCGGGGAGAGCGGATACAGCGAATGCGGGGTCCGGGAGAGTGGATATAGTGAATGTGGGGTCCGGGGAGAGCGGATATAGTGAATGCGGGGTCCGGGGAGAGCGGATATAGTGAATGCGGGGTCCGGGGAGAGCGGATATAGTGAATGTCGGGGAAGCAGGGTATAGTGAATGGGGGGGGAGAGCGGATATAGTGAATGCGGGGTCCGGGGAGAGCGGATATAGTGAATGCGGGGTCCGGGGAGAGTGGATATAGTGAATGCGGGGTCCGGGGAGAGCGGATATAGTGAATGCGGGGTCCGGGTCCGGGGAGAGTGGATATAGGGAATGTGAATGGCTCCCGGGAGAGCGGATATAGTGAATGCAGGGTCAGGGGAGAGCGGATATAGTGAATGCGGGGTCCGGGGAGAGCGGATAAAGTGAATGCGGGGTCCGGGGAGAGCGGATATAGTGAATGCAGGCTCCGGGGAGAGCGGATATAGTGAATGCGGGGTCAGGGGAGAGCGGATATAGTGAATGCGGGGTCCGGGGAGAGCGGATAAAGTGAATGCGGGGTCCGGGGAGAGCGGATATAGTGAATGCGGGGTCCGGGGAGAGCGGATATAGTGAATGCAGGGTCCGGGGAGAGGGGATATAGTGAATGCGGGTCTCTCCGATCAGACCTGACCCCCACCCTTGCACTTACCTGTCGGAAGATCTCGTCCTCCTCCCGTCTCCTCCGCTCCTCCACCTGTCTCCTCCCGCTTTCCTCCGCTTCTCGGATGCGTCGGTGGCGTTCGGCGAGCATGGCGAATGCGTGGATCCTGCGTTCTTCTTGCAGGCGGACGAGCTCTTTTGAGAGGAAGTCGAACATATCTGAGAGGACCTCCCCCTCCATCCGGGACAGGTGCTCCTCCTGCACTGTGGCCTGCGGGGGGAAACACACCAGTCAATGAATACTGAACAATCAATCATGACGATATTTTTACCGCCCGACCTGCTGCTTTATTTATTAATTAACTGCTTGACTTCTGGAAAGTTTTACCCTCCTCACGACTGGGCCATTTTTTTGCTATTCGGCACTGTGCTACTTTAACTGGCAATTGCGCGGTCATGCAACACTGCACCCAAAAAAAATTTATATCAGTTTTTTCCCACAAAGAGAGCTTTTTTTGTTTTTGTTTTGTAAACACGGAACTCTGTGCTGGGATTGGAGGCAGCCAATCAGCTGATTTCATTGGCGGAAACTTTCTGATAAACTGTGTCCAATCACAGCATGGGTCACAGGGAATGCGCATGCCCACGCGTCCAAAAGCAGGCGGCAACGTACATGTATGTTGCCTGGCCTGTGGCTGCCGCCCGCTTGCAGTGCTGTGAGTGGATGGCAAGGGTTTAAAGGGAACCTCCCCCCATGTCCAGGAAAATAAAGCCTCATGCACAGACTCTTCCTGGGGTTTGTGCCGCCATCTTTGTTTTCTTCATCATTGGGAGTTGGTTGACTTTTCCAGGTTCCTACCGCCATCTTTGTTTTTTTTCATCATTGGGAGTTGGCTGACTCTTCCTGGTTCGTGCCGCCATCTTTGTTTTTTTCCTGATTGGGAGTTGGCTGACTCTTCCTGGTTCGTGCCGCCATCTTTGTTTTTTTTCCTGATTGGGAGTTGGCTGACTCTTCCTGGTTCGTGCCACCATCTTTGTTTTTTTCCTCATTGGGAGTTGGCTGATTCTTCCTGGTTCGTGCCACCATCTTTGTTTTCTTCCTCATTGGGAGTTGGCTGATTCTTCCTGGTCCGTGCCATCTTTGTTTTCTTCGTCATCGGGCGTTGGCTGACTCTTCCTGGTTCGTGCCGCCATCTTTGTTGTTTTCATCATCTGGGAGTTGGCTGACTCTTCCTGGCTCTTGCTGCTGGCCCCCCTGATGACGCAGTGCCAAATCTCGCACATCCCCATCACGTGTTGCCATAGTGTTGGGAAATCTCTGCCTTCAGCCTCCTGGCATACATGTCAAGCATTTTAGAAGGCTGTAGGGCCATAGGTGGCAAAATCTCGTAAGATCTCCCAACACTATGGCATTACAAGGAGCCAATCAGTTCATGAACTCCCAAGAAGCATTTTGATTGGAGGAGTGAGCAGAGTCACAGGCCAGGGGTGAGTCCCAGGAGACCCGGGCTCACGGGAAGCAGGTGGAATGAGACTGGCCATCAAAATGAGGACATCCAGTAGCGGAAAAAAAAGTACCTTCTGATTGAAGCTGGTTTTGTGGATTTTATATTTTTATCGGGCGGTTTATTTTTATCTTATTTTTGATTTCTGCGTTAACTGAGCTGGATCTGGGGAATATTTTGTTGGGGGGGGGGGGGGATTTGTCTACTGGTCTCCTTTACTAAAAAGAAAGATGAATAAAAGTCGGGAGACACGTACTTTGTGCTCGTCCAGTTCCCGCTGCCGCTGCAGGGTCAGGGTCTCCTCTCTGCCCTCATTCTTCAGCAGTTGCCCCTCCTCCTGCAGAGCGTGTGTGGTGCGCAGTTCACGGATCAGCTCCAGACGCTTCTCCTTCCCCTCAAACATCTAGAAAGAAATGGAGAACAATGGATCAGATATGAGAGAACGGGATAAGACTTCCTTATTGAGGTGTACGTTTATTAAGCAGAGATAATTTATCTCATTTCAGTTTTCAGGGAGAAGTCTTCTCCTCCGTCCCCCTGTTTACGAAGCGGAGAACATTTGTCCTCGGAAGGAGAAGAGAGGAGATGTTTTTCTCAGATCTCCTGAGATAATTGTGTGATTACAAATTACCGGAGTTTAAACCGCAAAACCAAAAGTTAAAACGACCATGCAATAGCGTGAAATTAATACTGCTACTTTTGAACGCACATTTTTGACTCATTTTTATTGTGCCGAGATCCTCCGAGAGCAACTTCTCCCAACCATCCAAGAAGAGTTTGGTGAGGAACAATGCCTTCTCCAGCATGATGGAGCATCTTGCCAGAAGGAAAAAGTGATCACTAAGTGACTTGGGGAACCAAATATCAAAATTTTGGGTCCATGGCCAGGAATCTCCCGAGACCTTCATCCCATTGAGAACTTGTGGTCAATCCTCAAGAGGTGGGTGAACAAAAAAAAAAAGCAAAAAAAAACACCACACAAACTCTGGCCAACTACAAGCATTGATGATGGAAGAATGGGCTGCCACCTGTCAGGAGGTGGCCTAGATGTTGATGAACAGCATGCCACAGGGAAACGCAGAGGTCTTGAGAAAGAAGGGTCATCACTGCAAATATTGACTCTTTCATGTTATTGTGAATAAAAGCCTCTGACACTTATGGAATGCTTGTCATTATACTTCAGTCTACCAGACTAACATCGGACACAAAGATCGAAAAAAACACGGAAGCAGAAGACTTTGTGAAAGTTAATATTTGTGTCATTCTCAAAATGTTTGGCCAGGGTTGTACGTACATGCCTTTTCCAGCATGATGGAGAACCTTGGCGTAAGGCAAAAGTGATCACCAAGTCCTTGTCGGGAGAAGAAAAGGAGAGCGCTACCATCAATCCTGTGTCCTGCCAACAGTAAAGCCTCCTGAGACCATTCATGTGTGGGGTCGCTTCTCAACCAAGGCAGTGGGCTCACTCACAAGAACACAGCCATGAATAAAGAATGGTACAAAAACATCCTCAGAGAGCAACTTCTCCCAACCGTCCAAGAAGAGTTTGGTGAGGAACAATGCCTATTCCAGCATGATGGAGAACCTTGCCATAAAGCAAAAAGTCATAACGAAGTCCTTGTCCGGAGAAGAAAAGGCGAGAGCTACCATTAGTCCTGTGTCATGCCAACAGTAAAGCCTCCTGAGACCATTCATGTGTGGGATCGCTTCTCAGCCAGGCAGTGGGCTCACTCACAAGAAACACAGCCATGAGTAAAGAATGGTACAAAAACAAACCCCAACTCCGAGAGCAACTTCTCCCAACCATCCAAGAAGAGTTTGGGGGTCAGGAACAATGTCTATTCCAGCATGATGGAGCACCTTGCCATAAAGCAAAAAGTCATAACGAAGTCCTTGTCCTTGGAGAAGAAAAGGCGAGAGCTACCATTAGTCCTGTGTCATGCCAACAGTAAAGCCTCCTGAGACCATTCATGTGTGGGATCGCTTCTCAGCCAAGGCAGTGGGCTCACTCACAAGAACACAGCCATGAGTAAAGAATGGTACAAAAACACCCTCCGAGAGCAACTTCTCCCAACCATCCAAGAAGAGTTTGGGGAGGAACAATGTCTATTCCAGCATGATGGAGCACCTTGCCATAAGGCAAAAGTGATCACTAAGTCCTTGTCGGGAGAAGAAAAAGTGAGCGCTACCATCAGTCCTGTGTCATGCCAACAGTAAAGCATCCTGAGACCATTCATGTGTGGGATCGCTTCTCAGCCAAGGCAGTGGGCTCACTCACAAGAACACAGCAATGAACAAAGAATGGTCCAAAAACATCCGTTGAGAGCAACTTCTTCCAACCATCCAAGAAGAGTTTGGTGAGGAACAATGCCTTCTCTAGCATGATGGAGCACCTTGCCATATGGAAAAAGTGATCACTAAGTGGCTTGGGGAACCAAACATCAACATTTTGGGTCCATGGCCAGGAAACTCCCCAGACCTTCATCCCGTTGAGAACTTGTGGTCAATCCTCAAGAGGCGGGTGAAAAAAAAAAAAATCACCACAAACTGACCAACTCCAAGCATTGATGATGGAAGAATGGGCTGCCACCAGTCAGGAGGTGGCCCAGACGTTGATGGACATCATGCCACGGGGAATCAATTGCAGAGGTCTTGGAAAAGAAGGGTCAACACTGCAAATATGGACTCTTTGCATAAACTTCATGTGATTGTGAAGAAAAGCCTTAGACACTTATGGAATGGTTGTCATTCTACTTCAGTCTACCAGAGTAACACCTGACAGAAAGATTGAAAAAACACGGAAGCAGAAGACTTTGTGAAAATTAATATTTGTGTCATTCTCAAAACATTTGGCCAGGGTTGTACGTACATGCCTTTTCCAGCATGATGGTGCACCTTGCCATAAGGCAAAAGTGATCACTAAGTCCTTGTCGGGAGAAGAAAAGGTGAGAGCTACCATCAATCCTGTGTCATGCCAACAGTAAAGCCTCCTGAGACCATTCATGTGTGAGGTTGCTTCTCAGCTAAGGGAGTGGGCTCACTCACAAGAACACAGCCATGAATAAAGAATGGTCCAAAAACATCCTCCGAGAGCAACTTCTCCCAACCATCCAAGAAGAATTTGGTGAGGAACAATGCCTTCTCCAGCATGATGGAGCACCTTGCCATCAGGAAAAAGTGATCACTAAATGGCTTGGGGAACCAAACACCGAACTTTTGGGTCAATGGCCAGGAAACTCCCCAGACCTTCATCCCGTTGAGAACATGTGGTCAAACCTCAAGAGAAGGGTGAACAAACAAAAAAAAACCACTACAAACTCTAACCAACTCCAAGCACTGATGATGCAAGAATGGTCTGCCACCAGTCAGGAGGTGGCCCAGACGTTGATGGACAGCATGCCACGGGGAATCAGAGGTCTTGAGAAAGAAGGGTCAACAGTACAAATATTGACTCTTTCATGTCATTGTGAAGAAAAGCCTTAGCCACTTATGGAATGATTGTCATTCTACTTCAGTATTCTAGAGGAACATCTGACAAAAAGATCGAAAACCATGGAAGCAGAAGACTTTGGCCAGGGCTGTACGTGCAACACGCAGGAACATGTGGACACTTGGCTCTGCCACAACGGCATGGTATCTGCAACAAATAAATGGGTATTAATGTAAGAAAAATGCGTGGGCCTATAGGAGGCTGACTGAGGAGTGACACCCTACCATGTTCTGTGTCGCCCGTCCCCGGATTAATTTCTGTATGAAGATGACAGCCAGCTCCTTCTGCTCCTCACCCTGGAAAGAGAAGAATAAGACGTGAAAAAGTGAAGAAAGAATGGAATCACAGGGGCTGGCGTTAGAAGAGGCTCACCTCCGGAGGTTCCGGGACTCTGGGGGTGGCGGGCCGGGGAGCTGGCTTCTCGATCTTCTGCAGGGAAGCGGAGCGGCTTCTCAGGCTGCGGAGAGTGACTCTTCTTTTTCAGCAAGGCCTGAGGGACACAGAAAGGTCGTTACATGGGACCGTCGTTAGGACACCGTGGATGAGGAAGGAGAGCAGTGCCGGCACCGATTTGTAGACGCCAATATGGAGGCCGTCACCCTGAGATTAGTCCTCCTAACGCCATCCCTGACTCTTCCTAACCAGCCCTTCCCCCTCCTCTCCAGCCGGCTTCTTCAATTGAAACACCTGCGGCTTGCAATTGAAGGGGGACTCTGATGGGGATGCCCGGATGTAAGGGGGACAACTCTGATGGGGACACTGGATGTAAGGGGGACAACTCCGACGGGGACACCGGATGTAAGGGGGACAACTCCGACGGGGACACCGGATGTAAGGGGGACAACTCCGACGGGGACACCGGATGTAAGGGGGACAACTCCGATTGGGATACCGGATGTAAGGGGGACAACTTTGATGGGGTCACCAGATGTAAAGGGGACATCTCTGCTGGGGTTCACCTGATGTAAGGGGGACTCTGATGGGGACACCTAATGTAAGAGAGGCTCCGATGGGGACCCTGATGCACGGGGGACTCTGGAGGAGAACCTTATGTACAGATCATTCTGATGGGTACCCTAATGTAATGGGGGAACTCCAATGGAGACCCTGATGTAAAGGGGACTGATAGGGATTCTAATGTACAGGGGACTGATAGGGACCCTAATGTAGGATGAGACTCTGATGAGAACCCTGACGTAAGAGGGCACTCTGATGGGGACACCTTTGATGGCAACACCTGATAGAAGGGAGACACCTATGATGGGGACACCTATGATGGGGCTGCCTAATGTAAGGGGGACTCTGATGGGGACACCTAATGTAACGGGGAGAACTCTGATGGAGACCTTGATGTATAGGGGACAGATAGGGACCCTAATATAGGAGAAGAACCTGATGAGAGCCCCGATGTAAGGGGGCACTCTGATGGGGACACCTGACGTATGGGGGATACCTCTGATGGCGACAGATAGAAGGGAAGGGGGACACCTATGATGGGGACACCTAATGTAAGGGGGGCTGTGCCGGGGACCCTGACGTAAGATGTAAGGGGGACTAATAGGAACCCTAATGTATGAGGAGGTTCTGATGGGGACCATGATTTAAGGGGGCACTCTGAGGGGACCCTGACATAAAGAGGGACTTTGATGAGTACTCCTGATGTAAAGGGGGACTCCGAATATAAGGGGCACAGACTCCCGATCTGATGACAGCCTAATACACAATAGTATTTCCCAGGTGGTGACACCATGTGACAGACTGTCAGTGACCCCCTGACCTCTCATTACTGCACCCCCATATCGAAAGGGCTAGATCCAGCCCTGGGCCGGACCCCACCCCACACGTCTTGGATCGGATTGCTGGGATGTGAAATGCAGGGACCTGCCCCCTGCACAGTGGACTCCACAACAGGGGACACCCCTTCATTGCAGAGGCCGGGGTACAGCAGCCAGCAGACGGCTTCCTCCCAACGTTTCACCTTCGCCCGGTGCTATATACTGACGTGACCACCGACAAATGCCACGCCCTCACCTCGTGGACTTGCTTCAGCTCGCGGTCCAGCAAAGCGTCGCGTTTCAAGAAGCCATCCCTGGTGGTGGTCCTGGGTTTGGGGGCGCGGATGCGAGGCTGGGTGACAAAATCTGGAAGATTGGCCTCCAGGTCCAGCAAACCTGGAAGGAATAATGAAACACAGCACACCGACAGTCAGATTTATCAACAGTCCTCGGGGCCGGGGATGAGGGGGGACCACCAGTCCTCCTGTATGGGGCCCAGGTCAGCAGGGGGGGGGCCCACGCAGCTGCGTGAATCAGATGTGGACAGGGAGGGGGATCGGCATGGCAGTTAAAAAATGCTTTGTTTTAAAGGATAAATAAACCGAAGAATTAAAGTATAAATATTACATTCAGTAAAAATATATAAATATGTAAAATTTAAATGTAAAAAAGAGAAACATAAAAAAAAAAAAAAAAAAAAAAAAAGTGTGTATATATATATATATATATATATATATATATATATATATATATATATATATATATATAGATATATATAATCAAAGCTTCCCAGCTTTTTTAAAGGGAGCTTGTCATCTTTTTAAAGATTTCTAGATAAATATGAAAAATATTGAAATCCGATTATTTTAAATAATTATGAAAAAATGCTTCTTTGTAAGGATAAATAAACCAAAGAATTAAAGTATAAATATTAAATTCAGTAAACTATAAATATGTAAAAAATAAAAAAAAAATAAAAATGAGAATATATATATATACAGTATATATATATATATATACACACACAGTATATATACAGTAGTATATATATATATATATATATATATATATATATATATATATAGCCTCCCAGCTTTTTTAAAGGGAACTTGCCATCTTTTTAAAGATTTCTATATAAATATGAAAAAATAGTGAGATACGATTCACTTACATAATTATGAAAAACGCTTGTTTTAAAGGATAAATAAACACAAGAATTAAATATTACATTCAGTAAAAATATAAAATATATAAATTTAAATTGTATCTTTTTAAAGGTTTCTAGATAAATATGGAAAATACTGAAATACAATTATATATATATATTTTTTCACACACGCAAACAGACACATTCAGTAAAAATATAAATATATCAATCTAAAATGTAAAAAAAAAAAAATATATATATATATATATATATATATATATATATATATATATATATATATATATATATACACACACACACACACACCACACACATATATATATATACACATTATATATATATATATATATATATATATATATATATATATATATATATATATATACACACATACACATACCAACATATATAAATATATATAAAGCTTTGATTTTAATACACACACACACATAAATCAAAGCTTCCCAGCTTTTTTAAAGGGAACCTGCCATCTTTTTAAAGGTTTCCAGATAAATATGACAAATATTGAAATCCGATAAGTTTAAAATAATTATAAAAAATGCATGTTTTTAAGGATAAATTAACCCAATAATTAAAGTATAAATATTACATTCAATAAAAATATCTAAACTTAACATGTAAAAAAGAAAAACATAAATAAAATACACACACACATATATATATATATATATATATATATACAGTCAGGTCCATAAATATTGGGACATCGACACAATTCTAACATTTTTGGCTCTATACACCACCACAATGGATTTGAAATGAAACGAACAAGATGTGCTTTAACTGCAGACTGTCAGCTTTAATTTGAGGGTATTTACATCCAAATCAGGTGAACAGTGTTGGAATTACAACACTTTGCATATGTGCCTCCCACTTCTTAAGGGACCAAAAGTAATGGGACAGAATAATAATCATAAGTCAAACTTTCACTTTTTAATACTTGGTTGCAAATCCTTTGCAGTCAATTACAGCCTGAAGTCTGGAACGCATAGACATCACCAGATGCTGGGTTTCATCCCTGGGGATGCTCTGCCAGGCCTCTACTGCAACTGTCTTCAGTTCCTGCTTGTTCTTGGGGCATTTTCCCTTCAGTTTTGTCTTCAGCAAGTGAAATGCATGCTCAGTCGGATTCAGGTCAGGTGATTGACTTGGCCATTGCATAACATTCCACTTCTTTCCCTTAAAAAACTCTTTGGTTGCTTTTGCAGTATGCTTTGGGTCATTGTCCATCTGCACTGTGAAGCGTCCAATGAGTTCTGAAGCATTTGGCTGAATATGAGCCGATAATATTCCCGAAACACTTCACAATTCATCCTGCTGCTTTTGTCAGCAGTCACATCATCAATAAATACAAGAGAACCAGTTCCATTGGCAGCCATACATGCCCACGCCATGACACTACCACCACCATGATCACTGATGAGGTGGTATGCTGAGGACCATGAGCAGTTCCTTTCCTTCTCCATACTCTTCTCTTCCCATCACTCTGGTACAAGTTGATGTCGGTCTCATCTGTCCATAGGATGTTGTTCCAGAACTGTGAAGGCTTTTTTAGATGTCGTTTGGCAAACTCTAATCTGGCCTTCCTGTGTTTGAGGCTCACCAATGGTTTACATCTTGTGGTGAACCCTCTGTATTCACTCTGGTGAAGTCTTCTCTTGATTGTTGACTTTGACACACATACACCTACCTCCTGGAGAGTGTTCCTGATCTGGCCAACTGTTGTGAAGGGTGTTTTCTTCACCAGGGAAAGAATTCTTCGGTCATCCACCACAGTTGTTTTCCGTGGTCTTCCGGGTCTTTTGGTGTTGCTGAGCTCACCGGTGCGTTCCTTCTTTTTAAGAATGTTCCAAACAGTTGTTTTGGCCACGCCTAATGTTTTTGCTATCTCTCTGATGGGTTTGTTTTGTTTTTTCAGCCTAATGATGGCTTGCTTCACTGATGGTGACAGCACTTTGGATCTCATCTTGAGAGTTGACAGCAACAGATTCCAAATGCAAATAGCACACTTGAAATGAACGCTGGACCTTTTATCTGCTCATTGTAATTGGGATAATGAGGGGGAATAACACACACCTGGCCATGGAACAGCTAAGAAGCCAATTGTCCCATTACTTTTGGTCCCTTAAAAAGTGGGAGGCACATATGCAAACTGTTGTAATTCCTACACCGTTCACCTGATTTGGATGTAAATACCCTCAAATTAAAGCTGACAGTCTGCAGTTAAATTACATCTTGTTCGTTTCATTTCAAATCCATTGTGGTGGTGTATAGAGCCAAAAAAAATGTTAGAATTGTGTTGATGTCCCAATATTTATGGACCTGACTGTATATATATAATGAAAGCTCCACGTGTGGCAACCTTCCTGACAGCCAAAATCTTCATGGCATCCAAATGGATAAAACTTCTTTCTTGACCCACCAAAATGGGCTACTGCAGATCTCCAGCAACTTGAACCCCCAATGTGCGCACTGAAGCCTTGCTGCCCTCTATAATTGGGGGGAAACCAATAATAGAAAAATAGAAAAGTGACGGCAGAAAAAGACTGAGTGGTCCATCTACTCTGCCCATTTTTTTTATTTTTATTGGCGGGGGGGGAGGGGGGGGTTTTGTTTTTTTGTGTTTTTTTTTTTTGTTTTTGTTTGTCTGAGTAAGGATCTATGCTTATCCCAGGCATGTTTGAAGCTATTTACTGCTGACTGGCTCACTACCTCCGCTGGAAGTTTATTCCGAGCATCCACTACTCTTTCAGTAAAAGAATACTATTTATCTTTAATAAATAAAAACTAAAATCCATTCTACTCAGAAAAGGAGAAATGGCGCAGGTGTATCGCTCAGAGGAAGAGGGCGTGACCCTCGAAAGCGCATTAACTGCGCCCGATTGGATGAACACGTTTCTGGTGGCAGCTCGGTTTATGTACACATCTGCGCCAATTCTCCCTTTGTGAATATAATGGGTTTACATTTGTATTTATTAAAGATGCTTACAGCAATGACCTCGGCTGGTTGTGTTCTAGAACTGAAAAAGGGGAACCTGCCGTCTTTCTAAAGATTTCTAGCTAAATAATTAAAAATTAAATCAGATCAATTTAAATAATTACATAACTGTTTGTTTTACGGATATTTAAATAAACCTAAGAATTAAAAATGCAAAGTTTACATTAAACAAAAACATAACTATCTAAAAACAAAACTTTAAAATAAAAAAATTAAAATAGAAATAAACTATAAAAAACAAAGTTAAATAATTAAGAATAAATAAAAGTAAAATATAATATGAAAATGTAAAAATAACAAAAACTAGAAAATAAATGCTAAAAAATAAAAATAAAATAATAATTTAAAAGTAAAATAAATACATTTTATATATATATATATATATATATATATATATATATATATAAATAAATAAAAATAAATAATAGAAATAATAATAATAGAAAAGTAAAAAAAGTAATACAAATATAATATAAAAAAAGGTAAACATAATAAAAAATGATTAAAAAAAATCAACATTAAATAACAAAACTTTTTTTCAAGTATGTATAATATAATATATATATATATATATATATATATATACACACACACACACACACACACACACACACACACACACACATACATACATACATACATACACACACACACAGTATATAACATATTTACTTTGAAAAACATTTTGCTATTTAATGTGGATTTTTTATTTAATCGTTATTTTTTATTATTTTTACTTTTTTATATTTAATATATATATATATGTGTGTGTGTAAGAGTAGCACAAACTATGAAATAAAAGAAAAAAAAAATAATACTTTAAAAATAATAGAAATATATTATAAAAATTTAAAAATAACAAAAAGTATAACATGAAGGATAAAAGTTGTAAAAAAAAAATAACAAAACAATGATATAATAATAATAATAATAATACTAAACTATTAAAAAAATCTAAGTTAAGTAAATACTAATAGTAGAAAAGTAAAAAAATAATAAAAATCTAATATAAAAAATAACAAAAAAGTAAAAATAAACGATAAAAAAAAAAAAATAAATAACAAAAAAAATATTTCAATGTAAAAAGAATAAAAAACATAATATAAAAAATGTAAAATGTACTGTATTGCAGCTTACCAGTGCAGAGGTATAGTGTCTACACTCTTTTTTTACTTCTGTATCACTTGGTAACAGTATTTTGGTGGCCGGGTTGTAATCTCTGTAGCAAGGTCGGACTGACCATTTGGAAACTCGGGCACTGCCCAAGGGCCCGGGGTCAGTAGGGGGCCCCATGAGATGCCCCTGGTACCTTTTTCATAGGCTTTTTTGAGCTCGGGCAAGGACACAGGGGCCCCATGATCCCCTATTGCCCGGGGGCCCCATGAGTTGTCAGTCCGCCCCTACTCTGTAGGAATCTATGAAGGGTGACAGAAGATGTCTCACCTTGGTAGGAGTCCAGGTAAGGGCTTCTCACTGCGTATTGAGCGGAGAGGCGATCCAGGGAGTACCCATCCCGGAGAGGGGTGCGTAGGTCTGAGAGGCGTAGTTGGAGTAGTCCTGGAGGATGTCACGCCTTTCCAACGTTCCTTCAACATTTTCCGTCTTCTTCGTTAGTTTCCTGATGGCTGTGGAGAACCAGAGAAGAGACGTTGGAGATGTAGGAGAACATCTAGAGAACTTCTAGAGACAGCAGGAACCTAAAATCTCAGACCCTACAGACCAAAGAACATACCCTCCCACATGGCTCCTGGAAGAAGACACCGTGATGGGATCTGCCCTTCGTTCTTCACCAACCACATTGGTCCATGTGTGTCAGCCTTTGGAACGCATCCGTGGAGAAACAAAGATGGTGGGCTTTAGCACCAACGCCACATAAATGCATCCATGGAAAGCTAACAGCACTCCCAGACCAATGATCAGGAAGTTGGTGGGACTGTCTCCTGATCACGTGACCACTGTGACAGCCAATCTATTGTGGTCATGTGATCGACAAATTCTTCCTGCCCCCCCCCAAAGACATAAAGACCCGAGTGGGGCTGAGTGGGAAGGCTGCAGAAGCTCCAGAGATGAACTTGATAGTCCTTTTGACTCATCTGTTGGCCGGTCCATCCCCCACCATTCAGTATACGTAGACGGAGGGGTGAGATGCCCGTGATGTCAGTGCCCTTGTAGGGGCCACATACCTCAATGTCATTGGCTGGGCCAGTATCGGGACAGGATCGCTCAGCGTCCTGGGCGAGGAGGAGGTCAACTTGCACCCTCTCTCCCATTCCTCATTCATGCCGTAGAATTGACACACTGCCTTCTGCCCATTCACTGCCCCCTCGCCCCAGCTGTCCATAGTTGGCATGGAGTCTGCGCTGCACATGAAGGACTGGTGGGGAAACCTCATAATGGGCACAGCGGGGTGTACAGACCCGGGAACTCAGCACAGGGAAGGAGGGAACCCCTCATAATGGGCACAGTGGGTGTACAGACCCGGGAACTCAGCACAGGGAAGGAGGGAACCCCTCATAATGGGCACAGCGGGTGTACAGATCCGGGAACTTAGCACAGGGACGGTGGGAACCTCTCATAATGGGCACAGTGGGCGTACAGACCCGGGAACTCGGCACAGGGATGGTGGGAACCTCTCATAATAGGCACACAGACCCGAGAACGCAGCACAATGATGGAGGGAAAATCATCCTCTGTGCTGCAGTAATCTGAAGTGAAATTGTGTTGGATTCAACTTCTGTGTCTTCAGTGGAGAGATAAGCTGCCTGTGGATGGTGCCAAGTCAGCAGGTGACCGTAGTGTGCGGAAAGACTGGGTCTAAGGAGGTAAGTCAATGCATAAAGCAGCCTTGGTAGCAGAACAATATGTGACTTTGTTCTTTGGGTTCCTGATCTGAAGGTTGCACATCTGGTGACCAGAACCCAAACTTTGGTTGGTTGTGCGCCATCATGACCTCTGCCGTGTCAAATTAGGACCTGCAACCTTCACAGTATGGAGCATCATCCATTCCTACTCAGGGGAGGCGTGGCCAACTAGAGCACCAGAGGTTCCGGCGAGCCCGAATTATTACCCCCTTCCAATCCGGACGCTTTCACCCCCTTCCAGTCCGGACACTTTCCCCCCCTTCCAGTCCGGACACTTTCCCCCCCTTTCCAGTCCGGACACTTTCACCCCCTTCCAGTCCGGACACTTTCACCCCCTTCCAGTCCGGACACTTTCCCCCCCTTCCAGTCCGGACGCTTCCCCCCCCCCCCTTCCAGTCCGGACGCTTTCACTCCCCTTCCAGTCCGGACGCTTTTACCCCCTTCCAGTCCGGACGCTTTCCCCCCCTTCCAGTCCGGACACTTTCCCCCCCTTCCAGTCCGGACGCTTTCACCCCCCTTTCAGTCCGGACACTTTCCCCCCCCTTCAAGTCCGGACACTTTCACCCCCTTCCAGTCCGGACACTTTCACCCCCTTCCAGTCCGGACACTTTCCCCCCCCCCTTCCAGTCCGGACACTTTCCCCCCCTTCCAGTCCAGACACTTTCCCCCCTTCCAGTCCGGACACTTTCCCCCCCTTCCAGTCCAGACACTTTCCCCCCCTTCCAGTCCAGGCCAATTTTCAGCTTTCAGCGCTATCACACTTTGAATGACAATTGCGCAGTCATGCAACACTGCACCCATATGAATTTTTTTGCATTTTTTTGAGACAGACAAAGCTTTATTTTGGTGGTATTTATTTTATTTTTTTTTTGCTATGTAAATGAAGAAGTCCAAAAATTTTGAAAAAAAGTTTTTTCTTATAAAATTTTGCAAATAAATAATATTTCTTCATAAATCTCGGCCAAAATGTATTCAGCTATCTTTTTAGTAAAAAAAAAAAAACCCAAACTAGTTTATAACCAAAAATTATAATTTTTAAACATTTTTATTTACATTTATTTATTTTTTAATATTATTTATGTTTTTTAACATACCGTCACCCTAACAGTGCAGTGTCACCATGGTGACACTGTACTACTTGTGGGGGGTGATGAAGATTTTTTTTTTTCTTTACACCGATTGCTTTTACACCCATAGAGCAATAATTTCTCCTTCTCTCTGGCTGCATTCTTGCAGCCATTGAGAAATACTGTGTGAGCTGTGATTGGTCACATCTTGTCACATGGTACAAGGCTGTTGTGAATGGCCCTGTACCATGTGACCTCTGTGATCATTCACAGATTTCACATCTTGACATCTTGCTTACTACTCTGCATGTGATCACTGATTGGCCAATCAGTGATTGATCACATGATCGGGACCTCACACAGAGGTCCCGTAGGACGATCGGTGTTCCACTGTGTCTGGAGGTTCATGGTGCTGCGTGTTCCCAGGGAGTGCGCACAAACAGGGGGCGGGGAGGCCGTTTATACACATGGGCCGGACGGGAAGGGAAGTGGTTAAAGACCGTTGAGATCGATGGAGTGGAAGGATTTATGAAAACGATTTTCAGGCTGTGATTCCTTTTACCTTCGATGTGTTCCTTCCGGATCTGCCGAATTCTCTCTTCTTTGTCGGTTTGTAGTTTGGACCACCTTCCATCCAGCCGCTTTGTGTCCAGATCATGCCGAATCTCCTTCCGTTGTTGGAGAAGCTTCTTCAGCACCTCAAGACGCGCCTCCTGCAACCTGAACCAGGGAGGGACAAAGATTGATCGATGTGGTCACTTTACCCAGAAGAAGCCGCTAAATCCAAGGCGGAGTCAACGGCCACTCACTGGTTACCTATTTTCAGGGCTCCACCTCCTGCTGCACCCTCCATAATATACAACTGACCACGAATCCAGCAATGAGAGAGAGACTCTCATAATGGGCACAGCGGTTGTACAGACCCGGGAACTCAGCACAGGGATGGTGGGAACCCCTCATAATGGGCACAGCGGATGTACAGACCCGGGAACTCAGCACAGGGATGGTGGGAACCCCTTATAATGGGCACAGCGGGTGTACAGACCCGGGAACTCAGCACAGGGATGGTGGGAACCCCTCATAATGGGCACAGCGGATGTACAGACCCGGGAACCTAGCACAGGGATGGTGGGAACCCCTTATAATGGGCACAGCTGGTGTACAGACCCGGGAACTCAGCACAGGGATGGTGGGAACCCCTCATAATGGGCACAGCATGTGAGTTTGATGATTTATTTTCTCATTCATCCAGCCAATCTCCTGCCTATATCCAGCTGTGCGCTCAGGTGGGTCTGAGTGAGAGTTCTGCCTGATCTGTAGTTGAAGAATCAGAACCAGAATCTGGACCTTGAACACGACAGAGATCTCCTCCTCACTTACTTCTCTATCTCCTGCTCCCGGAAGGCCCACTCCTTCCTCTCCTGATCGTCCATCATCTTCCTCCTCTTCTCCAGCTGGGTCACATCACTCAAAGGGGGCAGTGTGGCCTCCCAGGCTCTCTTCTCTCTCGCCCGCTCTATCATCTCCACTTCTGCCAGCCCAGCAGGGAGACCACGGCCTGGAGAGACAAAGACAGTTCTAGGGATCAGGGACAGACACCAGAAATGGTGGGACAGAGAGAACTATACAGACCAGGAACAGAGGACGCGGGTGAGAGGACAGAGCAGAGGATGGGGGTGAGAGGACAGAGCAGAGGACGGGGGAGAGAGGACAGAGCGGAGGACGGGGAGTGAGAGGACAGAGCGGAGGACGGGGAGTGAGAGAACAGGGCAGAGGACGGGGGTGAGAGGACAGAGCAGAGGACGGGGAGTGAGAGGACAGAGCGGAGGACGGGGAGTGAGAGGACAGAGCGGAGGACGGGGAGTGAGAGGACAGAGCGGAGGACGGGGAGTGAGAGGACAGAGCGGAGGACGGGGAGTGAGAGGACAGAGCGGAGGACGGGGAGTGAGAGGACAGAGCGGAGGACGGGGAGTGAGAGGACAGAGCGGAGGGACGGGGGAGAGAGGACAGAGCGGAGGACGGGGAGTGAGAGAACAGGGCAGAGGACGGGGAGTGAGAGAACAGGGCAGAGGACGGGGAGTGAGAGAACAGGGCAGAGGACGGGGGTGAGAGGACAGAGCAGAGGACGGTAGTAAGAGGACAGAGCGGAGGACGGGGAGTGAGAGGACAGAGCGGAGGACGGGGAGTGAGAGGACAGAGCGGAGGACGGGAGTGAGAGGACAGAACAGAGGACGGGGGTGAGAGGACAGAACAGAGGACGGGGGTGAGAGGACAGAACAGAGGACGGGGGTGAGAGGACAGAACAGAGGACGGGGGTGAGAGGACAGAACAGAGGACGGGGGTGAGAGGAACGAACAGAGGACGGGGGTGAGAGGAAAGAACAGAGGACGGGGGTGAGAGGAAAGAACAGAGGACGGGGGTGAGAGGACAGAACAGAGGACGGGGAGTGAGAGAACAGAGCAGAGGACGGGGAGTGAGAGGACAGAGCAGAGGACGGGGGTGAGAGGACAGAGCAAAGGATTGGGGTGAGAGGCAGAGCAAAGGACGGGAGTGAGAGGACAGAGCAAAGGACGGGGGGTGAGAGGACAGAGCAAAGGATTGGGGTGAGAGGACAGAGCAGAGATGGGGGGTGAGAGGACAGTGCAGAGGACGGGGGTGAGAGGACAGAGCAAAGGATTGGGGTGAGAGGACAGAGCAGAGATGGGGGGTGAGAGGATAGAGCAGAGGATGGAGGGTGGGAGAACAGAGCAGAGGATGGGGGGTGAGAAAACAGAGCAGAGAACGGGGGTGAGAGGACAGAGCAGAGGATGGAGGTGAGAGGAAAGAACAGAGGACGGGGTGAAAGGACAGAACAGAACAGGGACCGGGTGAGAGAACAGAGCAGAGGACGGGGGTGAGAGGACAGAGCAGAGTACAGAGCAGAGGTCGGGGGGTGAGAGGACAGAGCAGAGTACAGAGCAGAGGTCGGGGGTGAGAGGACAGAGCAGAGGACGGGGGTGAGAAGACAGAGCAGAGGATGGAAGTGAGAAGACAGAGCAGAGGACGGGAGTGAGAAGACAGAGCAGAGGACGGGAGTGAGAAGACAGAGCAGAGGACGGGAGTGAGAAGACAGAGCAGAGGATAAGAGTGAGAAGACAGAGCAGAGGATAAGAGTGAGAAGACAGAGCAGAGGACAAGAGTGAGAAGACAGAGCAGAGGACAAGAGTGAGAAGACAGAGCAGAGGACGGGAGTGAGAGGACAGAGCAGAGACGGGGAGTGGGAGGACAGAGCAGAGACGGGGAGTGAGAGGGCAGAGCAGAGACGGGGAGTGAGAGGACAGAGCAGAGACGGGGAGTGAGGACAGAGCAGAGGACGGGGAGTGAGGACAGAGCAGAGGACGGGGAGTGAGGACAGAGCAGAGGACGGGGAGTGAGGACAGAGCAGAGGACGGGGAGTGAGGACAGAGCAGAGGACGACGGGGAGTGAGGACAGAGCAGAGACGGGGAGTGAGGACAGAGCAGAGACGGGGAGTGAGGACAGAGCAGAGACGGGGAGTGAGGACAGAGCAGAGGACGGGGAGTGAGAGGACAGAGCAGAGGACGGGGGAGTGAGAGGACAGAGCAGAGACGGGGAGTGAGAGGACAGAGCAGAGACGGGGAGTGAGAGGACAGAGCAGAGACGGGGAGTGAGAGGACAGAGCAGAGACGGGGAGTGAGAGGACAGAGCAGAGACGGGGAGTGAGAGGACAGAGCAGAGACGGGGAGTGAGAGGACAGAGCAGAGACGGGGAGTGAGAGGACAGAGCAGAGACGGGGAGTGGGAGGACAGAGCAGAGACGGGGAGTGGGAGGACAGAGCAGAGACGGGGAGTGGGAGGACAGAGCAGAGACGGGGAGTGGGAGGACAGAGCAGAGACGGGGAGTGGGAGGACAGAGCAGAGACGGGGAGTGGGAGGATCTATAGGCGCAGCACACTGCATACAGTCAGGCTCACCCCAGGTAAGATTGGCCAGCATCAGTATCTCTGGAACACAGATCCCGGCTGCACTACAAACTCCGGACTGTAGGGGTCAGTCTGTGCTTCGCTGTCACGATAATCGGTCTGAATCCCCACGGTGCGCACCAATGGGGTGGGGACTCTCTCCGGACGCGGGCTGCGCTCTCTCCTGTTCACAGAAGATTTTGAAGATCATCAGAAAAATGAGCCCGGCGCCCATAATGGCATCATAGAGCGAGCAGAACACCACGCTGTATACCGGGACAGAAATATCTGGTACTTCCGTGTATGGGGGCTCCGTGTACGGGGGCTCCCTGTAAGGGGGCTCCGTGTATGGGGGGCTCCGTGTATGGGGGCAGTGTGTATAGGGACTCCATGAATGGGGGCTGCGTCTATGGGGACTCCGTGAATGGGGGCTGAGTGTATGGGGGGGCTCCGTGTATGGGGGCTCCGTGTATTAGGACAGCGTGTATGGGGACTCCCCTGTAAGGGGGCTGCGTGTATGTGGGATTCCGTGTATGGGGGGGGCTCCATGTATGGGAGCTCCATGTAACCTTTCCTACTTCTCCCCATAGCGCAGTGCTCAAACCCGATTGTCCAATGGCCATTCACAAACACTGTGGTGGGGGAGGAGAGAGTCGATAATTCTCTGTGAGCTCCAACACTCACCAACATGGAGCTTACACAGCATTTGGACTCAGGAAGTACCAACGAACACTTTGGAGTCCACCAACACAACATGTGAGATGCCTCAGTCCCCGAGTAGGAACCCCACATACTGTACACAGGGGACTATTCTAAGAGCTGTGCAGGCGTGAAAGACACCGACTCCGGAGTCGTGGCTCCACCCCCCACCCATGCTCAGCCAATCACTAAATGACGTTTATGATAACGCTGCAGGCATGAGGTTTGTTAATGGCCATGGTTAGGATTAGAGGATTAGGGTAAAAAAAAAGTCAACTGTCCTCTTTGCATTGCTTCCTTTCTTTGAAATCCATGGTGTTCCTGCCAGTCCTGCTTTCCTATTAAAAACTGACCACACTAGACATGAGAGCACAGCGTGGTCAGTTCTCTAGCTATGCTGAGACTTCATCCCGCTCTCTTGCAATGATTCGACTTAGAGGGTGAGAACAAGAGGATTAGGGGGTTAGAGGGTTCGACCTCCCCGTCCGACCAATAGCAGACTGACAGTCGAGCGGGACACTCCTACTTCTGAGTAGACATCATATGACGTCCTATCAGAAGGCACCGCTCACAGGGCCACGGGGTCGTACAGCGGCGTGATCTGTCACCAGCTGTGTCCACCAGACACAGACGATGACTGCTCACTACACCATGTCATGTGATCGCTGTGACCAATCAAAGCACACCACATGACAATTGTATGTAATGGATGGCTTCCTTGCATGCCATCCATTGTATACAATTGTGCTGTTAGCTGTGATTGGTCACTGCGATCACACAGTACAATCACAGCCCATCTGTACCATGTGATCAGCTTTGGCCAATCACAGCAAATTACAACAAAAGGCGCTGAATGAATCCATTTCATTCATTAAAATTGATTGCAAATATCAATGAAAAATACATTGATATAAAGAATCATATTGTGTAAAATAAATAAAAAAAAAAATCCTGATCACTTACTCAGAGTACTAGAGTGTTACTATGATAACACTGCATTGCTCTGGTCATGGTGTATTGAATTAAAAAATAGTAAAAAAAAAAAAAAAAAAAGTAATAAAAAAGAAAAAAAATAGAGAAAATTGAAAAAAAAATTTAATTATTATTTTTTACTTTCTGATCACCGCCACACCAGTTATAAGATGACGCTGTGCTGGACTGGTGACAACATGCAAAGAAAAACAAAATTGTGCATTTTTTTTTTTAAATGTCTTTTTAATGTTAAAAAAAAAAAAAAATTACAACTTCAAAAAAATCGCCACGCCTTTTACTAAATATCTTGGACTTTCTATTTTACAAAAATTGTAATTTGTTTATGCTGGCCATCCGTACATCAGGAT